ATGAATATATTACCTTGTGGTCTGTTTTGATTTATGCCATGGGGTGGTCCCTGTGGTGGGCCCTGTCCTCCTTGGCAAGGTGGAGGGCCTTGCATATTCGGGGGCATATTCGGGGGTGGCTGATTCATGTTTCCGTGTATCTGTGTAGGGTAATAATCGGTATATATAGTGTGAGGAGTGCTGCCAATTGACTGGGACGGTCGGCTGAGAATGTGTGACCTCTGGCTAGGTGTCATGTTATGCTACATGCGGACTGTTGTACCGGTTCAACCGCAGCCACAGCCTGGACTGTATTGATTGCTTTCGATATCTCCAGGGCTGGCAGGTGCTATTTGAGGATCGAGTGTTGTACCAACGGTTAGTTGGAGCTAAGGATGTCCCTGTGGCTATGTGCGTAATACATCATATACTGTGGTTGTACTAACAGTTAGTTGGAGCTAAGGATGACCCTGTGGCTATGTGCGTAATACATCATATACTGTGGTTGTACTAACGGTTAGTTGGAGCTAAGGATGTCCCTGTGGCTATGTGCGTAATACATCATATACTGTGGTTGTACTAACAGTTAGTTGGAGCTGAGGATGTCCCTGTGGCTATGTGCGTAATACATCATATACTGTGGTTGTACTAACGGTTAGTTTGAGCTGAGGATGTCCCTGTGGCTATGTGCGTAATACATCATATACTGTGGTTGTACTAACGGTTAGTTTGAGCTGAGGATGTCCCTGTGGCTATGTGCGTAATACATCATATACTGTGGTTGTACTAACGGTTAGTCTGAGCTGCGGATGTCCCTGTGTATCATATACTGTGGTTGTACTCCGCCATACGGAGATGTACGCTGCTGCTGAACTGACCGCTCACTCCGCTGCGTTTGGATCTTCATTTGGTAAAGATGCGGGGATGATAATCACCCAGTCAACAACAGAGTGTTTGGACACGAAATCCCGAAGGCTGACGTGTGTAGTCGTATTAAGTTCGATACAATTCATCATCGAGCACACCATATAAATAGCATAAGGAGTTTATAGATACACCCTATAAATAGCATGAAGAGTTTGTAGGTACACCCTATAAATAGCATGAATTCATCAAGTAACCGCTATAAATAGCACACAAAAAGCATCTAGCTAACCCTATAAATAGCACATGGAGTCTGTGAAGGCGTACCGAACTGATCCTTCATACCTGTGAGGGTGGTGGTCCATTGGTGCTCATACGACGTGGTGATTGGTTGTTGTGTATCGGCGAGTGCTGTGGGGGGCCGTGCATTGGCTGCTGTTGGTTAGGCGGCGGTCGCTGTCGGATGGTGGGTAGTAATAGCCATAGTTTGCAAGATAGTAGGTAGCAATAGCCATAGTATGTGACTTGGTAGGTAGTAATAGCCATAGTATGTGACATAGTAGGTAGCAATAGCCGTGAGGTGTGAGATTGCAGGTAGACGTAAGCAAGTACCATGAGGTTACACATAGAGATCACCACACATTGTGAGTTCGTGGGTAGGCGTTACCATCCCTTTCAGCGGTGAACTGAGCCATACAGTCCGCTGCCAAGCCTCGAGTATGGCATACGAGTGGACCATAGACCAAGAGACTACACAGAACAGCATAGCGGAGACTGCGAAGGGCCGTCTGACACAGACAACGATAAAATAGATATAGATACGTGTATCAGAGAGAACGATTTAATAGATACAAATACGTGTCTCAGAGAGAACGATTCAATAGATATAAATATGTGTCTCAGAGAGAACGATTCAATAGATATAAATACGTGTTCCAGAGAGAACGGTTTAATAGATATAAATACGTGTCTCAGAGAGAACGATTTAATAGATATACATACGTGTCTCAGAGAGAACGATTTAATAGATATTAATACGTGTCTCAGAGAGAACGGTTTAATAAATATTAATACGTGTCTCAGAGAGAACGGTTTAATAGATATAAATACGTGTCTCGGAGAGAACGGTTTAATAGATATTAATACGTGTCTCAGAGAGAACGGTTTAATAGATATAAATACGTGTCTCCGAGAGAACGGTTTAATAGATGTAAATACGTTTACGTCTCCGGACATATACAAAGATGAATAATCGCAGACCCCCGGACAATCTCCGTGTGGTACTGTTTCTGTACTAGGTGCCGGCGTGAGCACACACCATCGTCAGTGAGACGACAACAGCACATCGTAACCACTGCAGCATATCACACCAAACACACGCAGATACCCCCGAGCCCAAGATATCAAACGTATTTAAACTCACGCAGATACCCCCGAGCCCAAGGTATCAACCGTATTTAAACACATGCAGATACCACCGAGCCCAAGATATGAAACATATTTAAACACACGCAGATACCCCCGAGTCCAAGATATCAAACGTATTTAAACATACGCAGATACCCCCGAGCCCAAAATATCAAACGCATTTAAACACATGCAGATACCCCCCGAGCCCAAGATATCAAACGTATTTAAACACACGCAGATACCCCCGAGCCCAAGATATCAAACGTATTTCCGTAGCAAAAGAAAAATACTGTCCGCTGAGCAACCGCCACTGGGCAACCAGGTGAACGGCTGTGTAACCTACATCACCCCACCAGAAACGCCAGCTTATATCGTACACGATACCACAATTGTATACGAATGAGCTCACAATACAACGCTTCTCAGGACAGTATACGGATGAGCGTACGAGGGAAATCAAGCCAGGAAGGACGGGATATAGATAAGCGCACAAGGGGCACTCTATAATAGGACATACCTGTTGGGACGGCATTTGCGGCTGTGTGTTGGGTGGAGCGTTGCTCTGCATAATCCTGTTGGGATGCATGTTGTGAATGGGAGGTTGTAGCTGTGGCGCTGCTTGGCGCGGCATGACACCGGGAGGGCCGGAGACAGGTCCGGGTCCCTGATATACATGATATGTAAGTATTTTTGTAGATTGAAGAATAGAATACATATTACTACAGATTGAAGAT